TCAATTCTGAAGCACCTTGAGAGCTTCGTCTTACAGCGATCATTTGCTGTTGAGCAGTGCTTGCCCTTGTGACCCCTGCTTTCGCAGTGGACCGACTCAGGAAGAGTAGATGCAGCTAACTTGTTGCCGATCCCATGCCTTCCATGACAGTGACGCTCCGTGCGTTGATGGAGGCTCACAGGGAAGGTCTGGTAGCGGACCCATCCCGACGTGTACTACCACTTTCGGAAAGTTCTTGCTCGTCGCCGGAGTTTCCAACCGGACTGCCCAAGCTGCCTAAACCGAGCGCTGGGCTGAGCCTCGTTGCATGTGTGCCTGCGCCTATCAGGCAAGGCGCATCGTGGAATTTTTGGGACCTGGCGCGAAGCTAGCATCCGCTTGCGAAAGAGCGAAAATCCCGGTCGCATCACGCTCAGTGTATCGGTCGTGTTTCGGTCAGCGTCCCGGTCGTCGGGTTCCGGTCGTGATGTTCCGGTCGTGTCATTGCGAGAGTCCAGTCCATCGCCTCGATACCTAGCGCCAGGACCCTAGGTGCTTCAGCCTTGCCGAGTGATTGCCGCAACGGGAACAGGTTGACCGTATCGGGAACCCGTAACGAGAACGGGCAGGGATTCCGTAACAACAACCCCGGGTTTCTGTAACAGCACCGGCCTGCCCCCTGCAACCGGAACCACCGGGGAGCTCCCACACTGACTCTTGTCGCCTCCGCCTACTCTTCTTGGCTTACAAGAGAGGGACCGCTTTCCGGTCCCCCTCTTAGACGTCTTCAACATGCCATGTCATGTAGCACTACAGGAACCTTGGTCCCGAATTTCCGATGCCGACAGCTGAACACTTCTGGAAAGGTCTGCTGGAATCATAGGTCGCCTTGTAGCTTCGGCGGTCCTAGTTGCTGCCCTTGCCGCCGGCGCTTGCAACTGGCGCGACGACTTCTTCTCAGGACAGCATTCACGGTACATCTGCTGGATCTCTAGAGCAACTTTAGCATTGTTTGACGTCTGCAACCTGAACCCTTCTGACGACTCGAAACAACGCGAGGGGCCATGCATTTCTTCTGATTTGTCAGCAGCATTCAGCAGCCATCCCAAGCCGAAGGTGCCGTGGCCCACCGCTTTGGGAAAATCAACAAGGCCAACTGGGCCCTCTTCTTGCTGGGCCTGAGCACCAAAAACACTTCGCGGACCGCCAAGCTTGGTCTTGCCAGTTGATTTCTCTTGGCATGGCGTGGACACCCAAGGAAGATGGCGAAGGGTTGAAGTCGGTGTTGAAGACCATCATGGATTGGTATGCCGCTCGAGACATCGACCCCAACTTCTCACTGCAAGAGGCGCCTCGCATGCAGAAACCAGGGTCGGTCAATGAAAGGGCACGGCTTTCGGGACATGTGTTACGTGAGTTCATGTCTGCTTGCATGCCCTGTCAGATGCACTGGGACGACACAGACGCAGGCCGCCTGGCCATGGCAGCTATTTTTCCGCAGATTGCATCCAAAATATGCATACGCCACCAACTTCAAGCAGTTCGACGTCGCACCGGGGACCTGAAAAAGTTCGTGGCAAGCATGGTGTCCTTCACTTCGCACACTGTCAATCCGTTTCTTCTCGATCTCCTCTGGCAGTCCGTGCTCCAGAGGCTCGCGTTTGTGGATGTGGACTGGGAGGCGTACTTGAGAACTTGTCAAAGAAGGGGACCGAAAACCCGTCCCCCTGACAAGATTTCCTCCAAGACTTCCAGCCTAGTTTCCGTTGTTGGGTTTCCCGGACAGTTCCTGTTACAGCTCCGGGGTGGTTCCTGTTAGTACTATCCCCCGTTCCGGTTACGACCTTCCGAGATGGTTTCCGTTACTCCCAAACCGAGTTCCTGTTACTCCCCGCACCCTTGCCTTGCCAGTCTGGGCCTCGAGACAGCAGCAGCAGCTGCACATGAAGTGCATTGCTTAAGAGCTTGAGTGAGGTGCGTGTGTGGGGACTTAGGGTTTTCCGGGATGAGGGTCTAACGGCGAACGGTTTTCGGGCTTGAGGCAAAAGAAATTGTCAACTCAATTTTTCCAGCACTTCTGCCTGCGAGTGCCCAGCTTGAATAGGCTTGTATAGTAAGAATCCCGTGAAAGAGCTTTTTGCCTTTCGGCGTCTGCCTGTGCGATGGCCACCTCGAACGAGGGACATCGTTGGCAGGCCTGGGGTTCTCTTCATCTTCGGATTTTCAGACCTTCGGTGTTTGGGTCTTTGGGATACTTGTCCGCTTGGCTTGAAGAGTGGCCCCCTTGCGACGCTTCAGCAAGGCAATACCTTTGACCAGCAATCCCTTGCAAGACCCTGCCCAAGCCCAAGCACTCCAAAGGACCCCAAAGCCAAGATCCAGGCCGGCCCGTGGATTGTGGAGCCCAGCGGCACCAGTTTTTGGACGCGGAGGTGGTGCAGAAGCCCTTAGACCAGCTCCCTTTCAAGGAGGTGCCGGTCAGTAAGCTCGGCAGCTTGCATTTGGCATCGGGCAATCGAGCTTTGCGGAGTTCTCCTCGTTGCGTTTACTCGTAGGGGCGAATCTCGCGCAGGGGGGTTCCCCAATCGCGTGTCAGGGGAATCAGCCGCTGTCGGACCGCCTGGGCTCTGGAAACCTTATCAGGCCGTGCGAGGTGGAGCAGAAGGTGAAGATTCACCACTCTACAGACAGGCTGGTGGAGCTTTCAAACACGAACATCTCTGCAAAGCTCGCCACCCACAACTTAACACTGTCATTCGTATTCCGTCAGGCAGGGCAGGGCTGCTGGCTCTGCAGCGGAGGAGCGGTTCGGTATGGGGCCAAAATGAGGCTCCTGGGCCAGGCCATCCTCCCGGGGCCGGCCGTGAAACAAGGCCTGGACCCCTTGGGGAAGGTCGCGGTTGGCGAACAAACTGCTCTGCTCAGTCCATGACGTACGCCAACCGCATGGTCGCCTTCCTCTTCGTGACGGACAGCTGCTTCGAAGAGATGTGCCAGCTGCCGGATCTGCCTCTCAGAATGGCCCCCGGGTGACGACAGGGGTGTGTCGTGGGGTTTTTGTACGTGGGACGCTTTAGGTCCTTCAGGGGGTCGGCTGCCATTGCGTGTGCTCTTCTTGCCGGGTCCACTTAAACGTCTTCCAGGTCTGTGGCAATCAGCTATGTGTGCGCTTGGACCACATGAGTGAGTCTGAAGTGAACCCAGTGTGATTTCAGCTCCTCCACAAACGGTGGCCTTTCCATAGATCTTCGGCCGATTCCCTGCGGCCATAGGAGTGTGTGTATAGCAGCGAAGGGGGCAGCAGGACTGCTAAGACAGCAGCTCCCGGCTCCAATTTGCGGAATGGTGGACGATGCCAAGGGTGAAAGGTCAGGAGGGTCAGGGATTCGAGTTCGAGTTACACTTGCCTCAATCCTCGCAGTGCGGCGTGAAAGCCTTCTGGCTTCCTAAGAAATCCTCATGCTCAGGATGCCAAGGATATGGTTGTTCTGGGGTCGTGTTGAGGGTTCTTGTTTTGCGACGAGGAACGCTTGACATGGGAAAATGGCGCTAGCAGGGTTTCAGGCTTCGTCGGGCAGTCTGGCTGGGGTGTGGCTTCGAGGACACATGCGTAGTTCTGGGGTTCCGGGTTTGTTGTCTGGCTAGACTTGAGTCCAGTAGCCAAGAAAAGGGCAGCGGTTTCGAGTGGTTCGGGGCTTTGTGTGCTTCAGCTGCCCTTCACTGCTGCCTCCACTTCATGATTCCTGAAACATTTGAGCATGCTTGTCAAGGGTACTCTCATAGGCAAGGCCGCGCTACAACGCATTTGCACGTGCTGCGTAGTCTCTCTACTGCAGCGTTGGGCTAGACAGGCTAGAAGGCAAGCACTGGGAGGAGCCGTGATGGAGAGCGATTCTAGAAGATGTCGGCGCTGGATGAAACGGGCTATCCTGGCATGTCCGCAGATGCAGCAGCTGCTCCACCAAAAGCTTGGCCACTTGATTCTCCGGCTTCAAGCCACAAACTACCGTCCGTGTTCGGCAGCACCTTGCCAAGATCGCATGAGGACATCCATAAGTAATGTTGTGGCGTGACCCCGCAGAATCACGTTTCAGAAATCCTACAGGGGCCTGCTTAAGTAATGTACCCAAGGGGTGGGGTGCCCCTGCAGAATCATGTTTCAGGAAGTCTTTTGCCAATCCGAGTCGTTCGTTGGGTGCGGGTCATGGGGATCTTGAGCTGAAAAGAAGTTCATCGAACAAGCCCACGTGCAGGCTTCCTCGGTAAGGTAAGATAGACCACGTGGAATAATTTTGCCGGCCCGAGTTGTTTGCAGGGCGTGGGTCAGTGCTGGCATTGAGCTGACAACTAAGTTCATCGAAGACGCGCGCTGACTTCCTCAAACTACGCCAGATCTCCAACAGGTAGCCCGCATCTGGCGATGCCAGTATTTGGGGTTTCCATAAGCCAGGGGTCCGGACTTAGGGGTTCATTTTCGGGCCGTTGTACGCATGGCCCCATGAAGAGGCGAATTCCAGCTGCCTAGGCCTAGACCATGGAATACCGCAGCTTTTGGAGGGGCTATGCTGGCTTCTGCAGTCCGACGTGCCAGGTCCTAGCGGTCCGCTTAAATTAGTGTCAGTCTGTCGGCTCCGGGCCGCGGCGCGTGGGATCTCATAGAGGCCCCGGGACTTGCTTTCCAGGGCGAAGAAGCTTCGGGCGTAGTTCGTAGAGATGCCGGTGCAGCTGCCACTACTGCAGCGGGCTATGTCATGAGGTGCGCACCTCTGTCTCGAGAACTAGGTCTCAGCTGCACGATCAAGTGGGGTGGAGAATTGGTGTCCAGAAGAAGGTTTGGTTGAGGGAACCGTCCCATGTCCTCTGCAGCATGCCGGGGTCACTGCTGCCTGAAGATGCAGCGCGTTGGTCAGGGATGCTCCAGGCGCAAACCTTGGGACGTCCGGCTGGAAGCACCTTCAACGGCAGTGTTTGGCTTCAGCCTGAGCGTCCCAATTTCTCAGATGCAGCCCTCGCATCCTCGGTGGCATCGGCCGCAAGTCTCCCCACATAGCCCTGTGCAGCTGGGCGCAGAGCTTGGTGGCTGTAAGGTATCCCACCATGTAGGAGTCCATTTCAGGGTCTCCCACTTCTGGAAACTTCCATTCCAAGAAGCCTGCCTGTCCTTGCGGACTCAAATGAATGCTAGGCTGCCGGGCTATTTTGCCAGTTGATGTCTCCGCGGACAACCTGTCAGCGAGCAGCCAGTCGTCTCAGCCAAGCCCTTTTGCGGATATTCTTACGCCACTCCAGATCTCCCAGAGTGGCCCTGCACAGCATAGGCTCGTGTACATGCAGAAATTTAAGAGCGCAACTTGCAGTGGTTGTGCAAGTAAAAGAGCCGGCAACAGTCGGCCTCATACCTTGCGGTCGGACCCTTTAGAGGGTCTTGAATTGTGATTCGCGCTGTCCGCATCCACTCAAAGGTCGCTGAATCCAGGTTTTGTTGCCTTCCGTGACTGATCCTGGACACTCTGCTACATCCGAGAACCTTTAATCTTGGAGTGGGTAGCACCCGTGAGCACTCATTTTGGTGTGATTCCTGAGGGGCCACCCACATCCAAAGGCACATAACGGCACCCTCTGTGTGCTGCTTTGCGGGGTAGCGCCAGGAGCAAGTCATACTGTGCAAACGTTGAAGACATTGCAGATCCCCCACCCGACATAGCTACTGCTTTGTTACCACGGTTCGACTAGCAGCTCCAGGTAGGTTCCTTGCAAGTCACACCTAATCCTTTGCTCCTGTGCCAGTAAGCCGCGCTCCACAACCATAATTCATAGAAGTGGCCTCTAACGTCTCTTCTCGTGACTCTCACGCTCTGACGTCGTCAAGGCGTCCTCACGCAGGTCAGTGAGCGCCTTCGGCTCCGCTCGGGGCAGCATCACAAACGCTTCTCCTGTCTAGTAGGGTTTTGGGAGGGAGGGTCACTGTGGCTCCCCAATTTCAGGCGGTTCCCCGGCTACTCTTTCCGTTTCCGGGGCGGGTTGGCGAACAGGTCTCGGAAAGGATGTTGGTACGGTGATTCTACAAATCCGTGCGCAGACCTGTCCCGTCGCAGCCCCTTGATGGTACTTCCAGCGCACACGCCCCTCCTCTACCACCGACTCAACCGGTGGAAATCAAACACCATCGTCGATTTGAGATGTGTGAAACCTAGCCTCTGACTTTCCGCAGACTCGGCGGGGGCACAGCAACGGCGAGTATCTTGAAGGTTCGCAGGGCGCCAGCTCGAAGCTTGCACGATCCCATAGGACGGGCAAAATTCACTTCAGACGCGAAGGAGGACAGCGGTCAAACGAGATGTTGGTGCTGGATAGCAAAGCCCGCTCGGGCTGTCCAGCGGCCATGTTTGACAGCACCTCGCCTCTGCCACCATTCGTGCGCTGCTTTCCGCAGCCTGCGCTGACATCTGGAGCCTGTTCAACACTTTGCCGCTGTTTTGGTACCGCGGTTGCAAATGCAGCTAAGTCAGGAATGATCAATGTGCTTTTGTGCCATTAAGCCGCACCCCCCAACCATAAGAAGTGGCCTCTAACGTCTCTTCTCGTGACTCTCACGCTCTGAAGTCGTCAAAGTGTCGTCACGTGGGTCAGTGAGCGCCTTCGGCTCCGCTCGGGGCAGCATCACAAACGCTTCTCCTGTCTAGTAGGGTTTTGGGAGGGAGGGTCACTGTGGCTCCCCAATTTCAGGCGGTTCCCCGGCTACTCTTTCCGTTTCCGGGGCGGGTTGGCGAACAGGTCTCGGAAAGGATGTTGGTACGGTGATTCTACAAATCCGTGCGCAGACCTGTCCCGTCGCAGCCCCTTGATGGTACTTCCAGCGCACACGCCCCTCCTCTACCACCGACTCAACAGGTGGAAATCAACACCATCGTCGATTTGAGGTGTGTGAAACCTAGCCTCTGACTTTCCACAGACTCGGCGGGTGCACAGCAACAGCGAGTTCTCTCTCTGAGATCTTGACGGTTCGCGGGGTGCCAGTTCGAAGCTTGCACGATCCCATGGGACGGGCAAAATTCACTGACGCCTCCTGCCCAGATAAGCTTTGGTGTGATGTCGGCTTCACGTGGCTCTGGAGGTGCGCATGAAAACAGGCATAGAAGCCCCAACACGATGCCTCTCCACGCCCAGCCCAACTCTTCTTGCGACCTTTTCGTCGACCGCTTGCTGGCCTCGCTGCGGACATGTGCGACTTCAAGGTCCTGGCCAGTTCCGGGCGGGATAGCTGGATGCAAGACCGCCTCCCCACAATGGATTGATCCATGGATCTCTGAAGCATTTGTGCCAAGACTTCCGTATTGCTTCACCGGCAGCAAAAGGAGCAAGTTGCTTGGCACTGATGGGGTTCAGAAGCCTGGTTGTGCTGCCAACCAAGAAGCAACCCCGGTGCTGTAGATGACCTGGAATTGGCAATGCAGCTTTGATTTCATCAGAGGGTTCACGTTTCTATGGTTGGGGATAGGCATGCGGCTCATGTCCACCTCTTCGAAAGCCGGCAGCGTCCCGCTGGGAGTCGGTTTCCTTTATGAGAGCCTCAGGCTCGCTTGATGTAACATGCCAACCTGCATTTAGGAATTTGCTGGTGTGGCTTGAGAAGACATCTGCCAAGTGCCGCGGGTGCACGTCGCGTGTGCACTGCGCTTCTTAGCAATGTCTCGCATCAGAAGAGAGCCCATCGCCGGTTGCGCAGGCAAAATTCGCGAAAGGTTTCGAGCTGTCAAAGCATCATCCATGCTCTGCCCTATAGGGCCCCCGTCCAACCGGAAGCATGTGAGAAAGCGGTGCGCGTGTTGATTTCCTGCGTACCGACACTTTCACCAGCCCGGAACTTGCTGTCAGAGGCTAGGGCAGATTTCCTGACTGAGAGGGATCCGTGGAAGGAAGGTGTAAGCTTAGGACAGTAGGGGGATTGTGCGATCCCACGGAAATACTGAGGCTTCCCTGTATGCATTTGCTTGCTCTTCTGCTGCATGCACATGTCTTGGACTGTGG